TCAATCAGACAATCTTTATACAAATGGTTTTGATTCAGTGGGACCATGACATATACACAGCATCGATACATCACTGCATCAAATCAGCCTTGTCTTGTATCCTCTTTTCATATTTATCTGCCATCCACGTTCCGGCATGGCGGCACACATCTTTGCCCATTTTCGACATGTTGACCACTGACAGAGGGCAACAAAATTTCTTGTTTTTTTTCTTCCAAAATCAGTCGAAAATGCTCGCCCTGATGTCATCCATAAAAATTACTTGCTGTGACCTAAACAAAATTCCGCAAAGGAAAGGAAACTGACGTGGCATGGTCAGGTGTCACGGTCATTGGGACTACTCAAAACTGTCGGTCAACAGGAACAGTCCAGGGAGGGAAAAGTGTTGGGGACGGAAAAGATGAGAATAACAAGAGTTCCACGATCTCAGACCTTCGCCAAATGATGTTAACCCTCCCGGTTGAGGAATAATACCATTTTGATAATTGATTTTGGAAATAAGAGCCTCATTTGCATGGATTACATCAGTTGATCATATTCTCCACCTAATGACAGACTTATCTTAACAAAAAAGGCTATTCTAGCACTTCCTCATAAATTATGCAAATGAGGTCATAATTTGAATAAATTATCTTTATTGATGTTCACCTTCACTTAACTTCCAAATGCGGCAAGTATGAAATTCCCAGCAGTTACAACTTAAACATTATAACAATTTTTCATTAATTATGCAAATTAGGTCTTCATCTACGTAATATATATCCTCAGATGTTTTTCTCGTTCTCAATTACATGTCACAAGTGTTTCATAGTCCTATCATCGAACGAAGCAGATTTATAGAATTTCCTCCTTTATTATGCAAATTAGCTACTGATTTGCATAATTGTCATCTGATCATGTCAAGTATCACTTCAGCTACCTACATACCAAAAACACTACAATCCGTCAACCAGCTCTTGAGCTATCCTTCTTCAATATTTTTCAACAAACGCTCCTGCAGTTCTGTACATACTTCTAGGGGGACCAAACCTAATGTCACTTCTTCCCTACCCCAAGAGCTATCTACCAACCAAAATTCGTGACCCTAGCATGTCCAGATCGCGAGATATCAAAACCGGAAGTTCTGCTGCAGTACCAACAAAAGCCACCAGGGAGCCCAATATCTAATCATTTGTAGGTCTCAAAAAGACCTACCCACCTAACATGACAATGCATATGAAGCTTCTTGAGTTATGCTGTTCACAGACAGACAGACAAACGGACAAACGCTACTGAAAACATAACCTCCTTGGCGAAGGTAATAACGGATAATGGACTGGCAGGACACTAAGTGGAACGTTAAGAAAAACAGAAAACCGAGAAGGGTGGAGAAAACAAGTTGTCAGATTGACTGTGGTGATTCAACCATGTAACGCGCTTCTAAAAAGGGGCCCCTGCCAGAAGGGTTGTTTCAACACCAACACCAATGCATTGTATAATGTCACAGCCGTATCTGACACGGTGTTTCCCCCTAAGAGCTAGATGTTTCTAGTTGGCTGTTTTCAGGCAGAGTGATTCTGTTTTCTGGACTACTGTGCTAAAATGACAGAATGTATAGTTATTTTTCTATTAATTGTCTAAATCTGGTCAGTTTGTGACTTTTATTTGCAGAGTACAGAGTGAGACGGTACGGCCTTGTTAATACACGGTCCGGTGCACCACCACCCTTCACCCGCCCCACTATACATAGACGCCTTTAATACCTTTTACAAGGACTAAACGAGTTATATAAAGTAGTTTTTTACCCACCTTGACGGCAAGATGCCTGTGAGAAGATCTGTGGGGAAGGGATGGCGATTAGGGTCTGTCGTCTGAACCACCCGTCTGTCTGCGGCCTGCTCTCAAGCCTGCTCACAAGGTAACTTACGTAAGCGGCAAACGTCATGGGTAAGATCTGGGACAAAGGGGCACTGAAATCGACGCGTTTCCTTGTTATGCATCGCAGGTGTCAGGTACGTGAAGGTACGCTCGTGTAAACAGACTGCCCCATATTCTACTACAAGTGTAACACATGAGAGAAAGGAGTAACTCGAAGGTTGACTCTGACCCCCGGGAATCGAACCCGCGCTGCTCGCGCGGCGTGTCAGCTCACAAGCAGCGCACAAACCGATTCACCCAAAAAATCCAGGATCCCTTGGGCGGATAGATAGTGACGCCTATATACTCGCTGTTACACTACTCCCTCTCTTCGATCTCTGAGATTCGCCCTCGAATCTCCCTAGTTCGTTTCCCTGTGGGCACACTCGGCCATATCTCGCAGGGCCACTTCTGATACCAATGTAACACAGAGAAAGGAGTAACTTCGAAGGCTGACTCTGACCCCCGGGAATCGAACCCGCGCCGCTCGTGCGGCGTGTCAGCTCACAACCAGCGCACAAACCATTCCGCCAAAAGATCCAGGATCCATTGGGCGGGTAGTTAATGACGCCTATATACTCGCTGTTACACTAGTATACGCTGAGTCTGTGTACGCCCTGTATGTACATGTGTTTATAATTTGTATTTGTGTTTATATTTACTGTGAAGTCTTCTCTCAGCTAGAGTGAATAACAAAACACTGTTGTTGTTCATTGTTTAAACAAAACTCGGTCAATTTACGGTACGTGTGACGTCTGTCGCAGCGGTTGCCGGTCTACTGAACATCGTAAGTCTTGAAATATTCGCAGTGGTTTATTTTCGGTGACATCTCAGGGCTCGAAATTCATTTTTGGGAATAGGTGGACTGGTGCACCCAACCTAAAAAATTAGATGCGCGAAAAAATATAGGTGCACAATATACACTGAAAGATACAATAAGTAGAATGTCAGCATAAACTATGATTATGTTCCATTTCTAAAGAAAAGTACTATAACAATGATTTTATTATTTTTCTGACAGCAAGGATGGTACTCAGGCCAGGGGAGTTTGGCCCCCGTAGATTTCATTTGCGAGAGGGAAATGAAACCCCGTGCATAACGGCGCACCAAGGAAGTTATTCCTTGGGCAAATCCATTGACCCTATTTGTTTTACCAAATTCTACTATCTACAAACCACTTTATCTACAAACCACCCGACCAGCCTCGTAACCCCTGCTTCTCCTATTGGGTCAGTTAGTCCTCACTACTTGTGAGAAATTGGGCTGGTCTCAATTTTGATGTTTCTGACTCAGGGAGAAGAGTTGCTGTTACAGTTCTACCCGGTAACCCGTAACCCAGGTGAGTGGTAATACAATTCAGGTGGTAATGCCATTTAGGTGATACCATTTAGGTGGTTAACCAACCTTGAAGTGGCCTTGAAGTACGGCCATATGGAGGCTTGGACATTCCTTTACCTTTATGTAATGAACATTTCCTGACGTATGGCTGGAGTCGGGGGATAGGGTGGTGTAGGGGGATAAGCTTAGCCTGAGTGTCAGCCTTTTTAGCTTTCATCCGCTCTACACAATCATCTACTGGCCTGGTGTGTTACGCCGAAGGGTGGTTATACCGGCTATACAGATACAGAAGCTGGTGTGTTACGCCGAAGGGCGGTTATACCGGCTATACAGATACAGAAGCTAGTGTGTTACGCTAAAGGGCTAGACAGAAGCTGGTGTGTTACGCCGAAGGGCGGTTATACCGGCTATACCGATACAGAAGCCGGTGTGTTACGCCAAAGGGCGGTTATACCGGCTATACAGATACGGAAGCTGGTGTGTTACGCTGAAGGGTGGTTATACTGGCTATACAGATACAGAAGTTGGTGTGTTACGCCGAAGGGCGGTTATACCGGCTATACAGATACAGAAGCTGGTGTGTTCGAAATGATCGAAAAAGGGGCCCGATCATAGTTAGAAAAGTTGAAAGGAGCCAGCTAATAATCTCCAAGAAAGGACATTCCTTGCTCTTTGCTTGCTCCAAGCATATCTTTTTGTTGCAAGTTCGTAACCAGCCGGCAAGATTCTATACATTATCCGATCGGCCCTGTTGACTAGGCTGTCTATCAGAAAACAAGGCTCTAGGTGATGAGAGACCTTCTTTGTGTTGGAACAAAAGTTTTAACTTAAACATGTAACTACCAGCACAGATGAACTTTCATGACAGTATTCTTAAAGGTCTTACTTATACTTTAATAATGTGAACAAACATAACAACACAGTGCAATAGTCGGCATGGTACAATGTTAAAAGATGAGAAATCACTCAAGATTATACAGAAAAATCAACTTAGCTAAAACTACACAGTGCTGTACAATGTATATCTACACACACACATAACAGCGTTACCAATTTAACAAAGGCATTCATACATATAATTAATTGTACTCAACATTATCAGACAAGCTTAATGCTATCTCATTCCTGAATGATACTTTCAAGTCCAAGTGATATGAAAAGATATGGTGGTAAACGAACAAATTCAAAATTACCATAGTGGTAATACCATACCATAAAACATACTATTTGATACAGTTTAAAACTACATATTGCTGTAAAGTAGACTTAACACAAAAAAGAAAAAACTTTCTTGAATAACAACACAAAATATGCACTCCAAAACAATAACAGTCTGGTGACACGGTTAGTTTTATCTACAGCGGTAGAAGGGGCACGTCATCCCCATCTCCAAACCACTGGTCGTCTGGATCTGGTAATAGAATTTCATCTTGCAGTTCCGGAATGTCCCGCATGGGGGCATGAACCTGCACTTCCACAACGTTTCTTATTTGGGCCAGTTCTTGCTGTTCCGGAATGTTCCGTACCGGGTCTTCCGGAATGTTCCGTACCGGGTCTTCCGGAATGTTCCGTACCGGGTCTTCCGGAATGTTCCTTTCCGGAGCGTTCTGTTCCGGACCCTGTACCTGCTGCTGAGGCTCTGGGTCCCGGGGTAGAGGATCGCCCAGAGC